CAACTTTAGGAGGTGCCGTTTTTCCTTGTCGAATCGCCCTAAAAGTTGTGAAGCCATTTAAACAAAAAATATGCCTTATCTGACATTATTAGTCTGTTTATAAATTTCGAATTTGCCCTTTCTAATTACTGAAATCTGACTGCGGTGTGATCCCTGAATTCCAACTAATTAACTCTTATTGCGTGACTAGTCCTTGTTCTTTTCAGCTCACCTCAGTCATTAGCTTCAAACTATACTGGACCGGTGGGGAGGATTTAAAGGCCAGGAGCCTTGGAAAACCGCCTTGCCTACTGAAGGCTTTCCAACGTTGGCGGGACGCAAAACTGACTGCCTGTACCAAGATGGCAGATTCTGTCTGACTCATTATCTGCCTGTTCTGCTCATCTATTTTCCTACTTTTTTCGCTGAAAAAGCTGCTTATCCCGTTTTTCCCTTTCTATCCATCTTTTTATTTGTGCCTTTATTGACGTTCCGTACCGTGCCTTTTGTTGCACAGCCCACTCTAATAAACTCCTTTCCGCGTTGTCAGTTCTTTTGGGGGTTTACTATGGATCTTCTTTTAATCAGTGAACGCTATAGACTGACATACTTGCTCCTCTCGTATGGAAGTTGTGAATTCCTCGGGAGCCAGTTTAACGTTAGTTCTTAAGAGCCATCTCGGAAGGCCGTTGAAGCCAGTCTTCACTGGGCCTTTGCACTGTTAGTTACCTACGAACATGTCGGTGACGGTGAGGCTCCGTTGCCCCTTGGGACCTCGTTTTCCACGGCTTCTGGAAGGACGTTAATCCAATGGGCAACTGTGGAATCCGCCCATAGCCTACTTTCAAGACTACAATCTGCCAGGTTTGTGAATCGAAAAAAGTGGCTAGTGCTATGGCGGACCAATCTGTTTGGGAGAATAGGAGGGTTGCGCGTTTAATGCCACGGCACTAGAGACCTTGCTGGGAGAGTCTGTGAGTTTGTACGGTGTAAAATTAGCCTGCTATCGGCGCATGCTTTACATGGCGGGACTTGCCTTGGTCGGATGTCGGACGTTCTGCACGAATCCTTTCCTCAGTGTAAATGGGCGGCCATTTCTACTGAAGTGCTGGCCAACTGCATAGAAAACGAGTCTGAATGCGAGACGGGTCCTAGTGGGGGTGTTTTCGCGAGTACTCTTCGGTTTGGACTCTTCTAGGGAGAGGTGCGGGCCTTCTTTCAGCCTACCAGTGAGTTTGTTGGTGGAGGGTACGGCTGTATGGCCAACATGTGCCCCAGTTTGGCGTCCTTGCTGAACGGGAGACAGCGACGGTGGGGACCGCGCAGCACTCGCTGCAAAGCACCTGAGTGCTCGTTTGGAATATTTGTGAGCCTTCGAAGTATATTTGCGGAATCGAAAACGACCAGAAATTGGTTGCTACCTGTCTAGCTGGACGGGTGAAGGCCACCTGCCTCCGCAAGACCCTGTTTTTTTCAGTCAGATACCCACAAAACTGCAAGCAATTAGCCGTAATAGGCATGCAACACTTGGGATTGATCCACTTTACGCAGGTCTAGGGGTAGTCGGTCGCTGACTGCGTAAAATCGGCAGGCGACAGCTAATTAGGGGCTGCGCGGACTCAGTCAAGGTCAGGCGCAGTAGGTAGACCTAAGTCGAATTCGTGGTACGGTTGTGCGCGCACCAGGCCCGTTATCATCAATCCGTTGTTAACTGGACGATATTGTCAGTCGGCAGGTGGCAGCTGGAGCGGGTCCAATGTATTTCGCCAATTATTTGAGAATAAGTTTGCAGGCCTGTCGCTCTGCTACAGTTGGCAAGTTCCAGATAACATCGAGACTCTGCGGTAGGTCTGCCCGGCCGTGCATGTTTTTACGCATTCAGCCCATCTCGCTTACTGTCCAGTACTTCGTCTAAGACATACTGTTTACCCTGAGACCGATTACGAGTTGCGACGGCTTTCGTCGGGTGCCACTGCGCATGTGTGCTTAGACTCTCCCCATCTACCAGGTGCCTGTCCATTAGCCCGGGTTACTTGCGCTGTTAAAATGGACTACTGCATCGTGATGGATGCAAGCGCGTTACATTTAGTATAGTGAGGGGAATCGTTTATTTGCCTGATGCGTGGGTTCCCCGGTGTGAGTTTCACTCTCTATCGCCTACTCCATGCACCAGCCGACTGTCCATGCGTGCCAACCTGCAGGTGGCGGGCTTGAGTGCATTGACTGAAAGAGTAGGAAGACCCGCCTGCGCGAACCACACATGATCTGGTCATTAAATTCCTGTACCAGAACACGTCAGAGAACGTGCATCCTCACATTTCGAACGCCCTCGACGATGTCCACCATATGCTTCAAAGAAAGCTGAAGCAGGCACGGCGAATTACGCGTGATTTAGTCCATAGTGGGTGTAGACTTTCACAGCGTCTACCGCCGTCTCTATTTCCCCAACTGGACTTTGTGTCAAGAAAGAATAAAGCATACCGGAGGCCGATGAGGGCGCAGGTGGATGGCACGGTCGAGCCCACGCATTGGGGCTCCACACCGCACCTCTGGTTCACACAGCAAATGACCAGGATCTTAACCACCAACAACAGAAATGCTGGCGCAGCCATAAACGCACCTAGGCGTGTCGTCAACTGGTTAGGATCACATGGAATGGAAGCGCAATAACGCCACATTAAGAAGGAGCCATTGCAGCGCGACTCTCAAACAACCGACCGGCTGTTCCACACGAACATAACAAAGGGCCGACTGCGGATCCAAGTTATCCCGACAGTTGGCAACCATCAAAGCTAAGGCTTTTGGCGCACAGCGATAGCTTCAAGAGGGTCAGATTGCTTATAGTGGAGAATATGAGCTGAATCGTCGAACTCATTCACTTCCCAGCAACAGTCACTGTCCCGGCCTGTCAGTAGACACGCGGGGAATGGGCGAGTGCATGACATATGTAGTGAACTTGTCTGCGCATTCCGCATGCACTACCCGGCCCCACAAACACAAGCACTGGGATTTCAAAAAACGTGGGATGAGCGGTCTAAATCTCACGTGAATGGCAGTGCCAGAGGTAACATTAGGAAGATGACGTGACAACCTTGCCCTAAACCAACCAATCCACGACTCCAGAAAAAAACACAAATGGGCAGACTGCGTGGACTGAGGGCGTCAATCGGCTGCCCTGAAATCCACGGAGACTAGCGCGCAGTGGAGGAGGAAGGGGGAAGCGGGGGGAGGAGGAGGAGTGTGGTGGGTGCTCGGGAGTGGGGTCAGTGTTAGCTGTCGACGTAGAACACCGTCTGATCGCGACGGACACCTTCCGCCTTCCGATACGAGAAAAGGCCACCTGAATGCATCCTGGGCCATGATATTAGCACCCGCCGGGCAATGTCCTCGTCCGCGGGTGAGACCACTGGGACGGGCTGCTGTCAAAAGCGTTGCCGCGTGTCGAAGATGGAACCGACAATCGCATCGTCATCTCTTAGGTATGGGTCCGCCTACAGCCTCTCAGGAGTTATCAAGGAAGATGAACCCCATATAAGCTGAATATGGCGTCATTGTATTTACATACTCAATATCTTCATTTGGGCGTGGAGGTAGCTCAACGGCCAGACAGAATTCCAGTCGCTACAACCGCCGCCGGCGCTGACAGAAACACCTCCGTGGAGAACCGATGGTGTCAACAGCGGGACGCAGTCCAGTCGACCGGGCTGGTCGTTCTCTGTCGCACACACCCCCATCACAAGGACCAATTTAACGACAACGAGGCCGCCATCAGCAATCTGCTCGTCGAGTAGGACCGTCTACACAAAGATAACGTCGACCACCCCGCCAACGACAACAGATCAACCTTCTACCGTAGTCGTCGCCTTGTAAAACAGCGGCTGCTCGAGATGCAGGACGCCTGGACGGCTTGCAAGGCCGAAGGGATCCAAGTGAACGCGGACCGCAATGAATGGAAGAACTTCTCCACGATGAAAGCTGTCTACGGTCCGCCAACTAGGGCAGCTGCACCTCTTTGCAGCGCCGACGGAACTATCCTTCTAACCAAGAAGACACAACCTCTACAGCGATGGGTCGAACGCTTCAGAGGTGTCCTCAACCGCTCCTCCACCATCTCCAACACCGCCATCACCGTCTGCCGCAAGTGGAGACCAACGTCGACCTCGACCTCCCGCCCTCTCTCCACGAAACCGTCCGTCCGTGCTGCAGCTCCCCAGCGGGAAAGCGCCTGGATCGAACCCGATTCCTGGTGAGATCTACAAGCACGGTGGCTTTCAACTCATGAATCATCCGACAGCGCTCTTTTAGGAGATGTAGCGTCAATGAGAAGTCCTACAGAATTGCAAGGATGTCGCAATCGTGCATCTATACTAACGGAGAGGAAACCGTCAGCTCTGCGAAAACCACCGAGGCATCACCTTGGTGAACATCGCCGGGAATATCTTTGCTCGCATTCTCCTGAACCGTCTGAATAATCATCTAGAAGAGAGCCTTCCACCGGAAAGCCAGTGCGGCTGGCGTTGTCATCGCGGGACCACGGATATAATTTTCGCTGCTCCTCAGCTACAGGAGAAGTGTTAGGAGATGCGGACCCACCTGTACTCTACCTCTGTGCACCTGACGAAAGCCTTCGGTACGGTGAATCGTGAAGGACTGTGGAAGATCATGCAGAAATTCGGCAGTCCAGAGCAATTCATTCAGATGGTGCATCAGCTTCACGATTACGTGATGGCGCGAGTCACGGTCAACGGAGTTGTTTAGGGGCATTCCCAGTGACCAACGGAGTAAAGCAGAGATGCGTCCCGGGGCCCACCCTCTTCAGTCTCGTGCTCTCTGCCATTTTGATGGACGCCTACCGTGACGAACGTCGGGGGATCCGCATCGCCTACAGGACGGACGGTCACCTCCTGAATCAACGACGGATGCACTTCCAATACCGCGTATCCACAACCACCGTTCACGAACTTCTCTTCGCCGACGACTGCGTCCTAAACATCACCTCGAAAGAATAGAGGCAACGGAGCATGGATCTCTTCTCCGCCGCCTGCGACAACTTCGGTCTGGTTATTAACACGGAGAAGACGGTGGTCATGCATCAACCGCCACCCAACACAGCCCCCCACAACGCGCCGCAAATCAGCGTGAACGGAGCCCAACTGCAAGTGGTGGAAAACTTCACGTATCTGGGCGGTACCCCCTCCTGCAGCACCAAAATCGGCGGCGAAGTGGCCCTCTGCATTTCCAAAGCCTGCTAAGCCTTTGTCTGTCTGTAAAACACAGTTTGGAACAGCCACATTCTCCATCTCAACACCATACTCATGATGTGTAAGGCAGTCATCCTGCCGATGCTGCTGTATTGAGCAAGGTCTTGAGCGGTGTACACGAAGCAGGAGCAGCGACTAAATCCTTTTCCCCCCAGCTTTCTCCGACGGATACTGCGACTGAGGTGGCCTGACCGAGTCTCTGACACCGACGTACTTGAGCGGACGGCATTCCTCAGCATCTATGCTGTGATAAGACAACTGCAGCTGCGTTTGATCGGCCAGCTCGTGCGGATGCATGACGAGCGACAACCTGAAAGACTCTTCTATTGAGATGTCGCCCAGGGATCCCGCCGACGAGACGAAGATCTCCGGCGCCAAAAGGGCACTCTGAGGACTTTTTTGAAGCGCCTGCAGATGAACCCAGCCAACCGAGAAGACCAAGCCTGGGTGGCGATCGACCTGGAGGAGGACAAATAACACAAGCGCAGTGACCATCGAAGACAAACTGCACCACCACCGCGAAAGCAAATGGACAAGTCCGGAAATCTCAGATGCGCTCAACCGCAACGCCAACGCCTAACCGCCTGCGACCTGTCGAGGCTACCAGCGGACGTTGGGGGGACCAGTCAGCCTTGCAGTAGATCTTCGTACCAACTGGAGCATCCGGACTACACCCGCCGCTCTCTCCGCGTCCAGCTCTTCGTCACGTCGACTGCTAACACTGGCCACACTCTCGAACACCCACCACCATCTCCCTCGTCGCCCTCCTGCTCCTGCTCCTCCTCCTCCCCATTGCCTCAGCATCCTCTACCGCTGTTCCTGTACCCACCACCACGGTACGCAATCCTGACACACGTACAAACATCAACCTCCCCAACATCAACGTCAGCGATATGGACTCGATCCACACCTGTCCTCATTGTGACTGCACGTTTACCTCACAATGCATTCGCTTCCGCTGTCTACACTGCCGTCGCGCATTCACTAACCGTATGGGACTATTGGGTCACATGCGTATCCACGAGAGTGGAACTGACCGCCGTCTCGGCACACCTAGCACCTCTTGCACATCTACCATGCCTAAGTCGACCCACACCCCCTGCCCAGCGTGTCCGACATCAACAGCTCCACCACTGCCATCATCCCCAGAACCGACACTGACACCGTCGACTTTTCCTGTCTACACTGTCCCCCTACCTTTGCCTCACACATCAGCCTGGTCGTTCTCTTCCGAGCCCATCGCGCAGAGACTGGCGAGTCCGTGCCTGGAGCACCAACAAACACCAAACGCACTCGTCTAAACTGCCCTCACTGCACCCTCATATTCACCCACCGCATGCACCTATTCGGCCACATGCGCATTCATAAAACCTGCGGTGGGCTACAGCCGACTACACCGCCCATCACATCGTCTTCCATCATCATCATCATCCATCACGGAACCAAGAGCCACCTCTCACGCAAGTGGAAAGTGTGTTTCTTAGGCCCTTCTACATGCAGCTCCTCTGCTACATGTGTGAACCGAGGTTGAGAATATTACGGCGCGCCAAGCTCCATGGCTTTTTAGGCTAGGTACGCGGTCGCATATCTATCTATCTGCGACGTTCTACTCGTCCGGTCTTCTTGACTCTGTCTTGACACCGGGTCCATGTAGGGTGGTATGAGATAATGTGGTAGACTCTGCGCAATTCTGCGCTTAACTGTTAAGTTATTAGCGCGCATTTCGCGGTGTCTGCCTCTCCTCATTTTGGACCGCACTTTGGAAATCCTCGTGTACGACGTTACATGTCTCGTATCAACTCTAAAACGGTATGCTGGCGTCCTTCACGGACAACGAAACCATCTTCGATATAATTAAAATAACCAGTGGAGCAAAGCAGGACTGCGTACTCGTCCCCACCCTCTTTAGCCTCACGTTCTCTGCCATGCAAATGGATGCCGCCAGTGATGATGATGACCCGGAATCCACATCGTCTAAAGGACCGACGGTCATCTTCCCAACATCCGGCGCATGAGAGCCCCATTGCGTCTCCCCACGACTTCTGTCTACCAAATGCTCTTCGTGAATGACTGCACACTCAACTGCGACGCAGACGCGGGAATGGAACGGGGAATGAATCTCTTCGCCTCCGTCTGCGCCAATTTCGTACTGACCGTCAACACGAACAAAACGGTGTTCATGAATCAACCGGCGCCCAACGCCGACTACAATATTCTTCAGGTCAATTCCAACGGCACAAAAGTAAAAAAACCTGTAGAGAGCTTTACAAATTTTAGCATCACACTCCTTCAACATCAAAGTCGGCAATGGATTAGCAAACCTGCTCTCCAGAGACCATCA